AAAAATACGAGATAGATGATAATTCCTAGTATTTTTATAATTTTCATTTAACACGTGTCTTTATAGTTTACTTAATCTTGACTGTCTTGCAATTTCTTTTATCTTATTCAATAAATTGTGAATATTAGGATATCAAAAAGTTGAGAATTTTATAACGATAACCCTATGATTCTTTGAGGGTAAGATAAGAAATCCTTACTCCTAGAAACAACAACAATAATTTAAAATCCAACTTAAACCGCTTTAAGCTTTCATAACGTCGTTAAATAACCGAGTACCATAATCATTATAAAAAAGTATGATAAATATCGCAATCGTAATCGTGTAAGATAAACTATTTGAACTTGTAATTTTTCGTTAACGGTTATATAAAATATAATATTCTTTAGTTGAATAATTCAAATAGACATTATAAATCTAATAAATATTCATTACACTTATATAGCGTATTATTCAGTTAAGAAGAAAAGAAAAAAGAAAAAGGAAAATATATTTAACAGTTTGTTATCCTCACGAACTGTAATGAAAGCTCTACGTTACACGAGCGTTAATAGACCTATCCAAAGGATTTAAAATAAAGTAATTTATACCCCAATTGACGTCGAATTAACATCGTTTGCTATGATATAAAAGAGAAAGTATACGTTTAGGATCGTTTCGAGTCAGCAAACTCTTAATAAGAAGGTCGGAGGGTTAAGAATCACGATAGCTTCATCCTTCGATGAACATCGTGTGCTAACTTCGTTTAAACTCTATTAAATATGATATATATATATATATATTTCATGATAAGTAACCAATATTCACGCAATAATAATAATAATAATAATGACGACGACAATGATGATAATACTAATCATCATAGGCCTAAAGATTTGTCGAGACCTATTTATCAGCATGGTTTTTCATCAATCTCATCGTTTGCGCATATAAGAAAGGTTACAAGTTCAAGTATATCAAGATATATTTAATATAAATAATTATGTTACATCGAATCTACTTACTATCTGTCTCCTAACATCGTTCGATATTACAAGTGGTGAAACCTGAATGGCCTCGTGAAGCGCGTGTTCCGCCGGTACCACCATTTCTTCAAACAACTGAGATTATCTGAAAAAGTAATACGTAAATTTATTAGATAAATCAATTTCAACATTTAACGATATCATTGGTAGACTTTTCTATCAAAAAATATAATTTATACGTATAATATATATATATGAAGTTATGATGAGTTATCGAAAGTTGCAACATACGTCTATCTAATTTGATACTACAAAAAAATTCCCTTAAATTTTGTTTTTTATCACACGCATATGTTTCTCGTTATAAAAAATATAAATATATATATATAAATGATATATTAATTAACGAAAAGTCGAAAGTCCATAGAATTTTACGCATTTCGATATCACATAAAATAATGACCTCGTAAATCTTGATAACTTTTCACTTTTTTTCACCCCTCGAAAATGTTCTAAGTTGTTTTCTAAAGAAATAGATTAGGATACAACTGACGAAGAATGAAACACTCACGAAGATCTTTACAATTTCATCGAAAATATTATTCTGAAGAAAGGAAAAGAGAGAGAGAGAAAGTAAATATGTTTGGTACAAATTTTTATCAATAAAATAATAAAAATATAATTTTATAATCATAAAAGATATTCAAAATATGATTCTATCAACATAGTTTCGTTATATCTTTAACTACGATTCTATTAGTAATATAATATATATAAATCATGTTTAAAAGCAATGATATTCTAACAAAAAATGTATCGTAAGTTCTCGTAAAATATTCCTCAAGATGAATAAGAAATATTGAATGAAGAATAATCGTATTTGAATAATAATAATATTTGAAAATACAAACGAAAGTTTTTCTAAATTGTGTCTTTCTCTAAAAAAAAAAAAAAAATAAATAAATAAATAAATAAGTCTACGTTTATAATTTATGTATTACGATTTAATGATAGAAATATTTGTTGATTGATGATACGATCTAAACGATATTTACATTACGTTAAATGATCTTTCACTTTTCATTGAATATTTGTATCATAAAAGTGATCGAATTAAATGGAATTATTAATGAAATTCGATATGAATCATGTTTACTTCAATGAAGTATATGCATTGATAGTAACTACATTGACAACTTACGCGTTATATAAATGTAGATTTATCTAGAAACGTGTTCGCACTTGTCTACACGAATATCGTCAGTAATTCGCACGTGCTGCGCGATCAAATGCAAGATCACGACTGACGTGAGAGCTCTCGTCGTTTAGTAAAAGCTCAACCCGTTCCTAACTTTGTTTGACCGGACTGAAAGTTCATAAAACATTTTATCAACAACGATAAACAAAACGATTTAAAACGCAACTAATAGAGTTTCTCTCTTTGAGTAACGCATTATTAACCAGATCTTGTTTATTATTTAAATTACAACTTGATATGGATCACCAAAGAGAAAAATAACATTTTTTTTATTTTTTTTTTTTTTATAAATAATCAAATTTTAAAAATCGAATGAAAATGTTCGATTGAATGAACATTATTATTCGTGTATAAAAGACATAGAAACATTTTGTTTTTCGTAATTACGACTAATTTGAGATTTTAATTGAATGCCTTATCGTATAATTAATAATAATGATCTCGAACAACAAATAACACGATTCAATTGGAGAACACTCATTCGTTGATATCAGAACGTGCCCCTGTTCATTCTTTTGATTACTTTCCCTCTCATTTAACAGTCGATTTGTTTCGTTAATCTCGTACAACGCACAGGTAGATATATTTACTTATTATTCATGAAAATGAATGTATACAAATGCGGAAGAAATGGGGACAGATAGCGACTTTTAAATAAATACAATTGGATAAAAAGAAACCACGAAAAGTTAGGAGAACGTTCTTGAAACGACGAACAGCAACACGAACGAGCCTTCATTAAAATCAATTGGAAGGTGCAAAGCGTTAACCGAGATAATTCAGCCAGTTGACCCGACGTGATGATCGTAATCTGGAGTGCAATGCGCGTACTCTACTCGTCATTCCCAGCATTTGCTTATAAGTAACGTAAGTTGAACAACGTGTACTCAATATTATAATTCAAATATTCGAAACAGAACTATAAAAAAAAAAAATACAAATCATTTGTTCATATATAAACATAGACGAATTTGAGCAAAATTTTATTGTGTTTTAAGTAAGTATGTGATTAGTATAACTCGTTAAGTTCATACGTACTCATAAACTCATTTTATTATCGTCAAAATTTCTCACGCATGACTATTTGCTATTGAACTTCAATAACTCAGGGCCGCGCGGCCAGGTCGAAACGTTGCAAAAGCAAACATTATTTTTTTATTTTCATTCTCTCAACGTTAACTCGAAATCACAAAAAAACAAACACTATCATCGATTAACAAAAATTCATGATCACCCGAGAACCGCTCTTTTGTCACGCAAACGTCAGATTAACTAGTCTGACGTAATCATATAGACGATATATAACAAAGATGTGCCATCGAGTCGACTAGAAAGACATTCGATCCGATAGATCGTAAATTACAGTGTTAAGAGTTATTACGACTCACAATAGTTATATTAGATATATCTTTTAGATTCTATCATCAATTCGTCTAGCATAATACACAGATAAAAACAATTATATTTTACTTTTTGTCTTTTTTTTTTTCTTTTTGGTTTCTCTTCCTTTCCTTTCGAAGAATTTGATTATACTAATAATCAATACACATCGTGCATTCGATCGATCGATCGATCGATCTTCATTAAATTAATTTTGATGTATACCGACTAGGAATAATAATGACTTGTTAATTAACACGTGACGCAATTAAAGCATACTTTGCACAAAAGAATAAATCTATTCGATTGAATCTACTTAAAAACTTTATATAGTATCGATCGATAATTATAATCGAAATAAAAATCTCAAGAAAACGAAATGTATTCTAATTAATTATTAACACGAGATATATATATATATATACATACACGTACATATGTTATTGCATTTTGTTAAATATATAATAGCTTGATCTATCATTCATCGTAAGTTATAAAGCTTCCGTGAATAACGAGACTATTACTTAACAAGGTCATTCATAAATCTGAAACGAACAAATTATTGCGTTACAGAGAACGATTGTACAATGTTCTTTCTGTTATCACGACTTTTTAAATACTTTTTTTTTACTCATTCAAACGAAACTTACGTAAATAATTAAGATAATAATTGGAAAAAAAAAATAATAAATAAAACATAACGTGAATGTTCGAACAATCGAAATCATTCGACTTGTCTTTCTCGTTAAACGATTCTTTCCACGCGAACATCCATTTACTACAACATTCCACATTCTATTTCTATTTTACAATTCTCTATCCGTTCTATTTCTATTTTCCTCTATTTTCTACTACTTGAGTATGAAGATTGAGAAAAAAAAAAAAAAAAAAAAAGAAAAAAGTAGGTATACCAAAATTATTTGATATTACGAAATCAAACGATAAAGAAATCCAATAACATGATAAAATTATATTAGTAAAGACTAAAATGTATCTAGTTGATTCGTCTAAGATAAGATGATTTCATTTGCCGAATTCTTCTAATACATAATATATATATATATAATACATCTGTCCAACGTGATAAGTCATCGCATTAATTATTGTCATTTATTTATTAATAAATCAACATTTCCTTTCAACACGATCAACAGGTATACGTTATCTTTGATTTATATCTATCATTTCATTCTAAACAAAAGTCTCTTCCGGGATCGTAAATCTGATTAATAACCAGACAGGTGAAAATATTTTAACATTATGTGGTTACATTATTTATAAAGACATTTCAAAACGATAAAATGAATATTTTGTTGTTCGTATTTTCTTGTCGTAAAAATAAAACAAATTAAATGTATACACAACACAAATTTCGTTTCTTTTTAACAAATACTTAACGTTATCTGAAAATAAAAAAATAAAAAAATGAAGAAAGTTAATGTAGCTAATTCGATATATAGAAGATACTTTGACAATCGTAATAATCGCGTAATCAATTTGAAAACGTTTCTTGTAATCATTTACTATTTTGTAATATCGAGAGATCGGTGTCGCGAATATATACAACGAAATGCTTTTCAAGGACACACGTGGGTTTTCCTTAATAAAGTAAACACATTTCAACTTATATGTCATTTACAAATAACAAGAACAATATCTATATACATTAACTTTCGATACAAATTATTCTATTCAGTTTGTCACTATCTTTATTAATAATTGTCATAATAACGTTTAATTGCATACAACGTAACAACTATATATATATNATATATATATATATATATATATATATTATTTACATTTTAGATTAATTTTTAATTAAGTCGTTTGTTTAACTTTATCATTTTGAATATGTTTCGAGAGCATAATAATCAACATCATTTCAAATCCTTCTACCGTTATAAAACAATAAAATTATACATTTTTAGAAATTTTAATATCATATTTTAACGATCTTTCAACAAAGTTAATATTCCACGAATTTACCTTGTCAATAATATTAACTTGACGATACCATTTATAATTCGAAGTAATATAATAACGCAATAAAAAAAAAAAAAAAAAAAAAAAAGAAGAAGAAAATAAAACATGTGTTAACAGTAATAAAACAATAATTGAATTAAAAGACAACGCGCGTATCTATAAATGAATTTATAATAAAAATAAGAAAAAAAGAAAAAGGGATATTTAAATTTATTTATTAACGCTAAGCGCGGGAATAATTCAAACATTCGAAATATATCAAATATAATAATTAACACACCATTGACGAATCTAAACAAATAAAGAATTATTATGCAAAGTCATATACAAAAAAAAAAATATCACAATGATCTAAGAATTTTCTTTTGAGACGCGTGTAATTTATTACAAAAACATTGAAAATTCGTTAAAAAAAAAAAAAAAAAAAAAAAAAAAAAAAAAGAAACAAAAAACGATATTATCGAATCTCTCACCCCTAAAAAGTTCAATGTTAATCCTGTTTCTCTCTCTTTCTTTCTTATTATATACAAATGCATCCACGCATGCACGCACGCATCACACACATACACTATAATTGAGTTTTCAAACGGAACTTACTAACGCGATGTAAGTACAATTAATTGAGTTAATTATTTAAATTATAATAGTTTGTAAACGAATGAACAAACGAAGAGAAGTGAGTGAATGAATGAATGAATGAATGAATGAATGAATGAATGTATGTATGAATGAATGAATGAATAAATGTAAGAACGAATGAACGAATGAACGAACGGTACCTATTCCAAAGTAAACGCGTACGTACGCTCAAGGAGTGCAATGCCACGAAATGTATATGCGCATGTATACGCTATCGTGTCGATACTTGCTTACTCCCACTCCGTTATTATCGTTGACCAATCAGAGAGCAAGATGAGCAGCCCATAAGATCTACCACCACTTAGACTCCTGCATACTCGGTATCTCGTGTGACGTCACGTGAACGCGCGAGAAATAGAACTTAAATACGTTCGCACGCTGTGTATATGTGCATACACGTGCTACGTGTACACACGTAAGATCAAAGATAAATACTTGTGGCGGGAAATTTTAAACATTTCTTCATTATTAAAAACATTCAAATTGTTGTTTCTTATGAATTAACTTTCTTTTAAATATAGGCAAGTTATTTGTTAATTCTATATAAAAGGTATATTAAATAACACGGATCGTAGGAACGATGGAATGGAAAAGATATTGGAAATAATTGTATTATTATTTTTTTCTTTTCTTTACTCTTATCAATTTCAATAACTTATTATTATACTTATTATCTTTTATATACATTAACGAAATATTTTTTAAATCTAAAAACCTATCATACTTTTATATTAATAATATTAATAAAATCGATCGTGTGTAAATAATACTTTTATTTAAATATATCTATCACAATTTGTTATTATTTGAAATTTCTATTTGAAATAAAAAGATTAGATATTGTTCACGTGTACACATTCAAAATACCGACAATCCGTATAGCAAATAAGCGCATACATAGAAGTTAATAATGTTAATATCCGTCTCTCAATCTACGTTGGTTGAATGAAGTTTGATGAAAACGGCCGGTGTGTTTAAATTTAGATCGTTACAATTGTGCCGACCCTCGTAGATCTATAATGTACACGAGGTAAGTGGCCCTTCCTGCAAGACGTACTACTTGTAGGAAGGGTTAATATCTACGTATTTCTCTTACACAATATTTGTTATATTCAAACGATAAATAATAAATATGATTTGTTTTTTTTTTCTAATTTCCTAAAACTACTCTTCATAATAAATATTTATCGAATTGTTTAAATATTTGATTAGTTGTTTCATTTACTGTTATATATTTAAAAAGTAATAAATAAATGATATACGCACTATTCAGGTAACAAATCAGGTCCCAATTCTTCTTCTCCAAAATCATCGTCTCTTTTTCCGGCAGCAGTCATCGGACGTGTGGGTAATGGTCCAATAGGATCGGTATAAGTAATATCTACATCAAAATTTAAATAGTTTTTATATACAATAATTTTATATAATTGATAAATTATATTTTCTATTGTGCTTGACTTTATATTCTTTGTTATTACTTAATCTAACATTATATGAAATATATCAATGTTAAGAATAGAATCTGCAAACTAGTTAAAGACCCATTTATCATGTTGTTCAATCCATTAAGGGAATCATATACAAAGTCTATAAATCTTCCTGGTAGATATTCATCTTATTTAAGATTATGCAGCACTAAACTATCAATAACCAATCTAATTTTACTCTAAAAAAGGCTTATGTAAATTAACCGTAATATCAAAGAAACTTTTCCTAGTTGTTTTAAAGTAATGCTTACTAGCTTGTCCATCAAAATTCAATTCCGTAGAACTATCTCCTCTAAAAATTCGTGTAGACCTAATGGCTCCACCGCTGTTAGATCCTTCGTTAGCTTTTTTTCCTGAAATGGGACTGCTTCTATGATCCGATAATACGCTCATCCCAGAACCAGCTCGAGAAGAATTATCGCTGTTACTTTTTCGCGAACCTTTAAAATAATATTCATACAATAAATATTTATTCTCATTTTTTCAAAATATATCCAGAAAAAATATAATATTAAAAAATACATACCAGTAGTACCTGGTCTAGCAGATCCTTGTCGTTCTTTTAATTCCTTTGCTTTTTCTGCTTTCTTCAATTCAGATGCATATAATTGAGCTTCCTTAAGACCCATGTCGCTACATAAACGTACCAAAAATTTTAAACATTCAATATTATCTGGAAATCTTTTATGAATATCTTGATATTCAGAAAGAGCTTTATGAAATTGTCCGGTTCGTCTTAAGCAAGCAGCTACCAATAATCTCCATCTAGGTTCATCAGGTGCAAGTTCCACAGCCTTTTCAAAATATAACATTGCTTTTTCTGCAACCTTTGTACAATAATGTAACGTCAATAATTCTATTTTAATAATCAAATAAATAATATCAATATATTTATACCTGCATAGATATGAAATACGATCCTAACCAATCGATCACTTCGTAATTAGCGGGATAGAATCTATAAGACTAAGATTAAAAATAACAAAAGTATATTAAAGAAGTAATATATAATAACAAATAAATAAATTACAAATTTGTTCTTACATCACTATAAAATTGATATGCCTGTTGTTTATCACCCAAACTATCATACATTTCTCCTAACTTTTGTAAAACTCCTGGATCTGATGGAATTATACCGAGCAATTGATTATACCATTCAGCTGCCTGTTCTGTATCATTAATAAGATGATATATTTGTCCAATCTGATATAATGTCTGTGGATCATATCTGACAATATTACGTAATTTCCAAAAACATTCCAAAGCCTCTTCATACATGCTTTGTTTTTTATATACCAGACCTATATAAATACTCTTTAAGTAATACTTGTTAAAATTATAATAAATTATTATTTAAATAATATTATACTTACCCAAATTATAAAGTGCTTGCACATGACTAGCATCTGTATCCAATGCACATAAAAGAAACTCCTTGGCTATGTCTAATTCATTTTTTTTCATTGCACAAGCTGCTAAATTAACATAGGCAGCAGCATTATAACTATCTGCATTTCTTGCTGTTTCTGCATACTTCTCGGCTTGTTCATAATCACCTTGCTATAAACACAGTTCAATTATATTATTATAATATAAATAGCACATATATGTAAGAAAATTTAATTTATGTTAAATATCTTAATTGCATACAAGATAATAAATAAATGATAACATAGTTGATGCCGCGCTATTAGCTTTAGTGTCACAATTTTGAAAATTTTTTAAAGTATCAATAGCTAGTTGTGTTTCCTTATTATGTAAGTAAACCATAGCTTTATTTATTTCTAAGTCTGCAGCTACAGTTCCGTAAGCAGACGATTTTATTGCATCCACACACCTTAATAAAAAAAAAAAAACAAATGATGTAAAAGGATAAATATTTAAATAATGAAAAATGTTCTGTGAACAAATGATGCATTTGAATAAATACCAAGCAAATCCAGCTGAAACGGTATCTTCAATTACAGGTGCTATAAGTTTGGCTGCGCAAAGAATAGTTTTCTCTCCTTCCACTTTAAGTTCCTTTTCAAATTTCGATAAATCATCACTTTTTAAAACTTCGTGTAATATATTTGAGTCTATATCATCCTAAACACAAAAATGTAATTAATTTGAAAATTTTAATAACATATTCATTTACTTTAGAAGCCAAATAACAGTTTAATATCAATTTATGAATAGCTCATAAAAAGATAGAGAAAAATCATAATATTTAATAAGTGATAGTATAGGGTGAGCATTACTGGCAACACATAGTGATTAAATGTAAACACACTCTATATTAACTCACAGCACTCGTATTATATTTGTCTTCTTGATCAATATTAAGCTGAACTTCTAATAATTCTAAAAATGATCGTTTCATTTTATCTCTATGTGATAAAGCAAAATGACATAACACAGCGTATAAGCCAGCGGTAAATTCTGCTCGTTCTCTCATAACCCATTCAAAACTATTAGCTGCTTCTTCTAAACGACCCATTTGTACAAATAACATTCCGATGTTATGCATTATTTTTATTCTAAGAATTACATATAGAATTAATAGATGAAATATTGAAATAAAAGAAAGCCATACGATGATTTTGTTATTTAATATTAATTATGTTAGTAATTTAATGTATATGTTTAGATACCTTAAATCCTTATGAGCTATCGGTGCTTGATCAAAAGCCATTCTATACATTTTTATTGCTTGAGATAATTGTCCCATTTGAACATAAATATTTCCCATATTTACTTTCAATCTTCCACTGTTGCTGAACATTCTGTTTCTTGTAATAGCTTGATAAGTAGCTATAGCTTCAGTGTACATTTCATTATTCGTATATTGTATTGCTAAATTGAATAGTACCTGTATTTAAACAATATTTAAGTATTCATTTAATTGATAAGTTATTAAATAAAATAAAATTAATTTCTTACAGCAAATGTTAAATCAACGTTATGAGTATCGCTTAAACCAGCTTGTTCTTGTAATCTTATAAGAGCACGCTCTCTTGACGAAGCCTCTCTGGCTCGTTCTAAAGCAACACGCATGTTGTTATTACCAGCTGCATCAATAGAGTTTTCTATCAGTTCCATTATCTTTCTTTCACTCATTTTTATTTTTTCTTCTGGCCTTAAATTTAAAAAAAAAATCAGTTGAAATATGTTATAATAAATTATAAAAAAGAAAGTTTCATAAATAATACTCACGTGTGTTCTTTATTGCTTTCTAATGGAGGAGCAGGTCCTTTAATACTGCTGCTCATATTAAGAGGATCGAATATTTGTCTATTACTAGTATAACCAGCACCTCTAACTGCAGTCATCGGTCTAGGTCCACTAGTATTGGGTCGCAAAGACACCGTAGTTCCAGCTCTATTAAACTAAAATCATAATGTAATAAGATAATTAATATAATTATTCCTTTTCACTGATGATATTTAATATAGTCATAATCATGTATTTGCTTACTCCGGTTGAGGTTCCAAGACGCATCGCACTGCCTGGGATTTTTGGAGTTTGCTATAATAAATGAATGATGCAATACAAGAAAAATTTATAATTATTGATAAATAATAATACATACTATTGATCTTTTCGCATAACTTGTTTTAACAGCTTCTTGAAATAATTCATCTTGATCAAGATCCTTAGTACTATAAACGGATGGATAATCGTCATAACCTGAATAAATGTCATCGTCAATAATTCCAACTGCAGCCATTGCACATAAGTTCACAATAATATTTTAATTATAATATTTATATTATATATTATTATTAATGTATTTTAACTATTAATTATATTTTTTTGATATTTTATTAATATTATTAAAAGATATAATGCAAATAACAAAATCTCAATGCAAGACAGCGTCACCCACGCATGCGCACTACTAATCCTCAGTAATGTATATACTTCACTCCAATATGAGGTATCGTTAGAACCCCGTGACAATTGAAATACGGTAGACAAGGAGTGGCCCCTTATACGTACCTGCTATTACTCATTGACACGTCCATGGAAACAATCACCGTCGAGCAATGACGTCGCATGCGCATGCGCACGAAGGCTCCAAATCCTTGCATCACTACTCTAGCGCACCTATCGCCAAAATATGGTAATAACCTTAAATTTATAAATAAAATGTTTTTAATTTAAGATTTAATATAAAAATCTTTTATATATATAAGATGTAACACATTTATAATTTTTGTTAAAGATGATTTTTATTATTATTATTAAAAATTATCTTGTTTCATAAAATATTATTTCATAAAGGGTATACTTAAAATCTTATTTATTAAATCTTCTTTTTTATTTATTCATCATTTTATTATCTCCAAAAAAATTTAAATCTTTTTTTTTAAGAACACCAAATTGTAAGAACGTTAATGCAATTAATAGTGACCAATTCATTTGATCTTTTATGGAATCTATTTGCTTATTATATGTTTGCATTATTTTATGTTGTATACATACACCAATAGGATTTTTAGTTTCTATATTTCTGCCATCTGTTTTACATAATAATTTTTTAATTACTGTCGAAGTAGACATTATTTCTTGACCTATGTAAATGTCAAATAATTTAGCAATATTCTCACATTTCAATAAATAAATATTATCTGTGTTTGATAAATCTTCGTTGTTTTCTACAATTGTAACATAAAAGCTATTAGTTATCACAGAAATGCATATATAAACATTCATTATTACTTTAATAATTATCATTTGATTAACATACTCTGCAATGATAAATTCTTTTGTGTAAGAAAAGCTAAAATCATTGCTTTCAATTGTTCTTTCCTTAAAAATGTTTGTATCTGTGCAACAGATTTTACCATGTGAAAATTAAAACTTGTATCATTTACTACATAAATGTCAGCCTTGGGAATCTTATTATTTATTGTACAAGCCTGTCGTAAGAAAAATAATCTCATTAAGAGTACTACTTTTAAAATAATATAAATGACTACAAAATATTATGTCATGGATATGCCTATGTTTTATACATACACATAAAAAAGAAAACATATTTAATATTTACCAATTTAAGTAGATGAGAAGTACTTTCATTTCTGCTATTTTGTACACAATTTTCATAATTCCATTCCAATATATTTTCTTTAGTTTCAAGTAACGTCCAACTAATAGTATTAGTTTCTATATTGATCCCTAATACAGTAGATATTTGCTAAAATAATATTAAATATAATATAATATCATTATTACGTATATTTATTATATTTAAAAAAAAAGAATAAACAATTTGTTTACCTCTTGTGAAATATCGTGTAGCGAAGACGAAACAATAAACTTTTGTAATTTATCTTTTTTCAACTTTTTACCATTAATAATTGATAATATAAATTTATCTAATATCTCTTGTGTCATACCTTCTATTTTTAATACATCTTTTAATGATTTATATACACCATTTTCATCACGATATTTATGCAATTCATTAGCATAAAATTGAGGGATTTCATACCTAGATAAAAAAAATAATTTTATTATATACTTTTAAATTTTATTTCTTTAAAATTAAAAGTAAATTATTATATTATAACTAACCTTTTAAAATAATCCACTTTTTTATTATTTAATATTTTTAAAATGTAATTATCATAGTCAGAAGGATAACGTAATTCATTATTAGTTGTACTATTAGAATACATTTGTTTTCCATAAATATATATTACAGATTGCATTTGTTTTACAGACAAATTATGAACTGTATACTTTGTAAACATTTTCAATCTTTTTACTAAAATCACACAAAAACAATTCGTGAAATAAACGTAAATTTATTTTCTAAATTGATAAATGAAAATAATTAATATAATTACAATAAATAGTTAAACTCATATTTATGAAGATATATTAACATATAAATTTCATATAATAAAAATGATTTATATTCTATATATATCAACAATTTTCATTTAGACAAATCTTTTTCTATTTTTTCTCTCTTTCTCTCTCTCTCTCTCTTTCAATGGATATGCATGTATAAATATAATCTAGAAAATTTCATGCAATAAATAATTTAGAAGTTACTAAATTTTGTAGACAAATGATTCATTAAAAATATTATTGATATCACGTGACTTTCTGGAATAAAAAAACTAGGGACCCTATATGTGCCATCTGCAGGTGTGAATGAAAACTTTATTAGACCTTTAACTACATAATTACCATTCATAAAACAATTATGCCAAGTATTTTATATGAATAAATAATATTTGATCAATACAAAATTTTTAACATTTATAATAAAAAAGAAAGAAAAAAAAAACGAGAGATTGTTAATATATACATATGAACTAAACATAAGTTACACTATTCCGATGTGATTTAATTTTATTTTTAAAAATCCAGATTCTCTGGATTTCATAAATTATTTCTCATTATTATTTTTTCAATAAGATTTTTTTTGTTCGATAAAACATTTGAACAAATTTATAGATTTTCTGTTAGATAAGACATAATGAAACTGTAATTAGAACATTCGACGTTGTTCTTGTAGTTTCTTGGCAGAAATAAGAAATAGAAATGATTTAATTTTACGTTTAATATATATTAAGTCAAATAAAATATAATAAAATAAAATAAAATAAAATAAAATAAAATTAAAATAAATAAAATATCATTAAAAAGATTTCCCTATGAATTGAATTAAATATAAAGAAATGTAAAGAAACTATTTTCCGGTGTTGGCGCTAGTGTCGCTTATTACTTTTTTGATGGTCGTTCGTCATTGTTACATTGGCGCGAGAACGTTAGACGTGTTCAGTTTGTGAACGTGTTAATCTATATTAACGTATTGTAATAGCTGAAAGTATTATTGTTAACATTAATATAATTTTGTTTTAATTCCTTCCAAAGTTGTACAATAAACAATTCAAAATGTTTTGGGGTAATTAATAGCTTTATTTACAGAAATATTATATATAGCCGGTACTGTTTTCACAAGAATGGCGCCGCCATGTGCTTTCGATGATAATTTATACACATTCAAAATAAAGAATTAAAAAATTATAATATTTCGACATTTTTTCTGATTAATATAATATGTATATTTATTTTTTTATTAGGTCTGGTAATGGAACCAAATAAACGGTATAGCCAAACTGTTGAAAAATCATTCCACGTGTCTATGGCAGCTTTAGACGTTAAAAGCGCCGGTAAGTCAAATATTTACGTTATATTCTAATTCTTATATTTGTGTGATGCTTTGTTTTACCCACTATTGTAATTATAATCTTTGTTATTTTTTATATACTTGATTTTATTTCAAAAGTTACGAGATATAGGTTATTGTTGCAGTTGATAATAACATTTAGACAATTAATACAGTTAATTTCAGATGACTAAGTATTTCTAAATAATATGAAAATATATCCTCATAAGAATTACTTCAATCTTTTCTTTTTTTTTCTTTTCATAAAATATATTTTTCATTAAAATTCATTTGTTTATATATTTACTGTTGTAGACGACGATGTAGTCCAAGTGAACGTCTGCTATGATGGTACAAGTTATTTACTTTGTAGTTTAAACAAAGCCATAGCATGGCAAGTACCATTAGACTTACATTTTCAAGAGGGAAGTAAAATAGCTTTTTCATGTAATGGTCAGAGTTCTGTACATTTAACTGGTTATTTAATACCAGAAGATGATGTAGATTTAGATGAGGATTCTGAAGAGGAGGAGGAGGAGGAGGAAGAAGAAGAGGAAGTGGAAGTGCCATCTCCTAAGCGTAAAAAGAGAAAGGCAGTTTTACAAGACAATGAAAAAATTAAACGAACGAAACAGAAAGCTGAATCTGTAAATGAAGATATGGAGGAAACAGATGATGATGAAAATATGGTTGAATACGATAATCTTTTAAAAGATCTTCAAACTCATCATTCGAATAAAAAAGAGGTAACCGAAGATGATGATGATGAAGATGATGAAAATGAAGATGACGACAATGATGATGCAGAAGATGATAGCGATGATAATGATGATGATGATGATGATGAAGAAGAAGAAGAAGACGATGACGACGACGACGATGAAGAGGAAGAAGAAGAAGAAGAAGAAGAGGAAGAGGAGATAGTACAAAAAAAATCTATCAAAGCACAGGAAACAAAAGGTAACAAAAACAAGCAAGTACAGCAACAACAGCAACAGTCAAAAAAGAAAGATAAACAAAAATTGGTTAACGGAAAGGATGTAAAACAAAATCAACAAAATAAGAATAAAGGAGAAAATCAACAACAAAATACTACGCATGAACCGAAAAAGAGGGTAGTTGAAGGAGGTGTAATTGTAAAAGACATAAAGAATGGTAGCGGTGCACCAGTAAAGCCAGGAAAGTTTGTATCCGTATACTTTGTGGGACGATTACAAAATGGAAAGAAATTTGATTCAATTACGCAAGGAGATGGATTTAAATTTAAACTTGGAAGAGGTGAAGTTATCAAAGGATGGGATTTAGGTATTGCAGGCATGAAAGTTGGGGGAAAGAGACAAATTACAATACCACCTGTTATGGGGTAAGTATATTGCTTACGATTTATAATGCACTTTTATATATTATGTTTATTCTATAAATTAATTATCTTTTTAGGTATGGTGCTAAAGGTTTCCCACCTACTATTCCTGGTAACAGTACACTTGTTTTCGATATTGAACTCAAAGCTATCCATTAACATGTCATCATCTGATAAATATTTACATTCTTCTGATAATTAATTTTAAAAGGTTTTATTATTTGTCTATTAACACAAAAGGATATGTTACATAGTTTTAATATTTTGATGCTAATATATTATTAAATATTTTATACTGAATGTAATTTTTATTCTCTTCCAATGACTATCTATGAATTTTTGTTGCAGTATTGCTTAGATAATTTTATTATTTATATAAATAGTAACATTTTTTTTTATGTTTATAAAAAACTTAAATAAATAGGATACTGTCGAGCACAGTTAATGTTTTCTTGCGACATCCTTATATGTTAATAGATAAGTAATAATTTGTGATCAAATAAAAAGTTATAAAATTTATAAAAGGACTCCTAAATAGGTTAAAAAAAAAACCAGTTTGAATTGTTAGAGATACGATAAAACAAAGTGTTGATGTTTTTGATAAGAAGTTATATTAATACATTGTATTTAATATGATGTATACAGTCAACATATAATGCAACAGTCAAAGTACATTCTACTCAAGTATAATACATTCTATATCTCACTATAATTAACTGTAACATCTTACAAATTACTGTTAAATATTACACGAAAGTAAACGACGTTTTTTCAAATAAATCTTACAAATATTCTTGCTCGCCCATATGTTTATTTCAACTTTTATAGTAAAATTTATCAATTCAATTTTTAAGTTACATATTTCATTAAAATAATGTATTAATTGTATTTGTCAAAAAATTATGTAATAAAATTAAAACTTTAATTAAATATTTTTTTAATATAATTCATCTTATATTTTCATTGTTTTGAAGATAAACTTTAAAATATGAAAAATATATTTAATAAATAGAAACACATCTGTACAGGCTATTGTATCTGCATAGTAGCAGTCTTTGGAATGATTTGCTAAATTTTTTTCAATCAAATTTTAATCAACTTTTCCTATATCTTCGTCCTTTTTCTTCCATGCTAATGTACATACTCCATTTTTACATTCTTTAACTAAATCTGATGTTGGTTCTTTTTCATTAGTACATTTGATTTTGTTTTTTAATTGCCACCATTTTATAATAATTGGTTGAATTAAAAATCTCCATATAATTAACAATATGGGAACAGCAACGCACGGTACACATACCATTTTGTTAACTTCTGTTTTCTTTAATAACCTGTAATATGAAAATAATATTAATAATATGAATATATAAAATACATTATTTAAGAAACCATTTTTAAATGCAAATGATATTTCTAATCATCTTTTAAGTATAATTTATTATTGTTTTATTAGTTGTTAATATTACCTATGCCTTATTTTTAAGCAATAACTAAATATTTATTTAAGAAACAAATGCATAACTTCAATGTAACGACAAATCAGCAGGTATTAAGCTCAGGTAAAAATAACAAATATAGAGTGAACACCAATAATATTTTTATGCTCTTTTTCATTGCGATAGGTTAATAGTTCCTACCATATCGACAGATTTTAAGGATAGCATACAAAACCCCAAATAAAAATATTATTTATAAAATACATCGTGTAACTTAATAGCATAATAGTATAAATAATATACATGTATTTAAATATATAATATTTTGTCATAATTTTAGAATTTTCTGAAATATCATAACTATTTGAATTTGCCGCCTTTTTTGATAACATTTAAACTGGGGAAGATTTTAGTGACTTTTCTTAAATCCCTATGAGAGGAGTTTCTAAGAACTTTTCTAATGACCAATCAAATAAGATATCGAAATCTATCTAGGTATATTGTTTTCATGCTTTGTTTTTCAAATCCATATGTCTCTAGTTTAGTGGTTACTAGTATTTCAATAGAATCCTAACCAATTTTATCTATATAGCGTATACTTATTAATATTTTAAAATACATACAAACATGTGTTTACTACGAAGGAATGTGTTCAAGTGCATCTTCGGTATATACTAATTAATTTTCTTTTTATCATTGAAATATATATTTAATGTTATGATAAAAATTAAATTAAATTGAATTTAATTAATAATTGATTATATACACCTGAGATAATATTTTGAAAATATTTGTTTGTGAGATTTATAAACAAGAAGATACGATGTCAGGATTATACGAACAAATTAAACTTTTATACAATCAATCGTTATATTCCAATGTTATTTCTCTCGTAAGTAAAAATTTCTTTTTTTTTTTTTTTTATTAATTTAAGAATATACTTTATATATAAAGTTCCCAATATAGATTCTTACTTTCATTTAATATAAATTGCATATAATTTATGTTTAAAAGTGAAACAGTGACTTGATTATTTATAATTTTGTTTTCTAGGCCAATCTGGTTTTATCCCTTAGCGAACATAATTCAGAACTATTGCCAGTGCACGGAAAGTTTCATGTTTATGTGTATTACGCGGATGCTCATTTTTATTTAGGAAAATATAGGAAAGCGGAAGCATTATATAAAAAAGCATTACAGTTTCGAAAGTGCCTTTTAAAATCTAAATGTGCTAGTAAACCGTTACAAGATGGTCAAAAAGATTTACCATCGGATATAGATATTAAATTTCAAATTCACTTATGTTTAATCAAGTTGAAAAATTCACAGGAAGCGCTTCAAGTTCTTCAAAGTATTCCTGGTAAACAAAGAACTGCCAAGGTATAATTAATTGTTTATAAATTTGTTATTTGTCATGAAAATAATTTATTCTAATTTTGTTTATTATTATTATTTTACCATTGCAGATTAATATGGCATTAGCAAAAATGTTTCACGAACAAGGAATGGAACGATCTGCTATTACAACATATAAAGAAGTCTTACGAGAATGTCCTTTGGCTTTGGAAGCTGTAGAAGGATTATTATCTTTAGGAATAAAAGGAATAGAAGTTAATTCTCTTATAGTTGGATGTGCAGCAAACTTATCTAATTTAGATTGGTTAAATACTTGGATTAAGGCACATGCACAAATTCACAATAGAGAATATACTCATGCTGTAACGACATTGAGAACCTTGGATACTATTAATTTATTAAGAGATAATTTTAATTTATTATCAGCAATGGGTGAATGTTATTATTATGCAGGTGACGATAAAAATGCTTTATTGTGTTTAAGGAGAGCTCGACTTATAGAACCAGATGTTATGACTGGGTAAGAGAGAATTATTTTTATATGCAAGAAATAATATTATAAATATGTTATATATATATATATATTATATATTTTTATATATTTTAGTGTCGATATTTATGCTGCTGTTTTATTTAAAACACATCACATAAAAGAATTAGAAAGGTTGATTTCTGTGATAACCACAAATAGTGAAAATATAGGTGAAATATATGTAGCTATGGCTTATTCTTTATATGCATCCAAAAAATATAATAGAGCCAATACGTTAACAGCACAAGCATTAAATCTAAACCCTAACGATATTGAAGCAACGATTTTAAGAGGAAATATTCTTATTGAACAAAAGAAATATCAGGATGCATTATTTTTCTTTAGACATGCTGTACAATTAAAACCATATCGTTATGAACCGCACAAAGGTTTGATTGATTGTTTAGTTGGAATGCATAGATTAAGAGAAGCTTTAAACATTGCAAGTGGTTCCTGTAAGCAGCTTGGTCATACTCCTAGAGTATTGACAGTAAGTATTAAGAAATGCATTTTAATGAAGAGCCTATAAAAACAAAAGATAGTTTCTGATACTTGGATTATGATTACAGTTATATGCTTCTGTACTAATGAAAGATCCTGTGTCAGTTGGAAAAGCTAAAAACCTTTTGGAAAAAGCATTAGCTCAAGACGAAGTTCATTTACCAACTGTATACTTGTTAGCTGAAATATATGAACAAGAAATGAACTTGGAAGCAGCAATAGAATTACTTGAAAGGCAGGTTGAGATACAGCCTACTTGTAAATTGCATCAAATGCTAGGTGATCTCTGGGCAAGGGTACATAATGAAGAGAAAGCTTTAGATCAGTACGCTATTGCTTTAAAGTGAGTATTTTAATAAACAATATTTTATTTCAAATTTTAAAAAGTAATTAATTATAAATTAATTTTAACAATAAACAACATATTAATATAAGATAAATAATTATTTGTTAATTACGACAGTTTGGATCCAAGTAATAGAAGAGCTTTGGAGGGAATGCATAGACTTGATAATACTTCAAGTAAATTAGATTCAACATATTACATGACTGTAGGAGAAGAACAAGCAGATACAACTTATGACGTTGGAGATGGATTACCAGATACTGATATTGATGAAGCACCTGATGAAAGTGAAACTGAAGCTGTTTGGTCTGATATGGATCTTGAGGCTAATAGCCAATAGTAATACAATTTATTTATACGAAATGAACTAATTTTTATATGTAATTATTATGTAAAACATCATAGATCTATTGCCAATTCTGAATTATGACAATTTTCATTGTATAATATTCTATTATTCGATTCTATAATATTCCGTATTTATTGTAGATCGAATTAAGATTTATCAATAGATTTTTTTTTTGCATTAGACTTCTCTTATCTGTTTAGAGATGTTATTTAAAGGATTATGCATTTTGAAAACATTATAATTAAATTTATTAATAATTATTAAACGAATATAGCATCGTAATTAATAATACAAAACATTAGAATTAATTTAACACATTTTGTAATTTGTAGAAACAATTTATGATTCTAATGTTTATTTTTTTATTATTGTTAATGAATGAAGAAACTATCATTTAGTAAGACATAACGTTGATGTAATTCCTTATAATAATATAAGTATTGATTTTTAAGCAACTCTAACAATAAGAGATTGATAACATTAACAAACCTAAGTACATTTAACTAAATACGAAGTACTTTTATACTTCGAAAAAAAGGTAATAATTGGTATGTATATATATATATATAAAATATTTTTACAATTATTTAAATATTATAATTTTCCACATGATAACAATTATTTATTTCATTATTTCATTTTGTATATCTATATATATATATATTTTATATAGAATAGAACTGTGTTGCTGTTGAGGATTGCATTTCTATTTGACCCATCTTGAACTGTAGTCTGTGTAACCATCGTAAAAGTACTGCATTTGATTCTCGTCTAATTGAAACAAAATGTTCAGCAATTTTACTTGGTGGAAAATCACGACAATTTTGTAATCGTACTTGTAAATGTCCTGGTAACTGAAATACGTTTTAATTATTTATTTTTCTTATGTGTTATAATCATAAATCTTATTTGCATTTATTTCTTTTTTTTTTTAGATTTATTTACTACCTGTGCATGATGAGAAAATAAAATAGGACTCCAAAGAGGTAATAGTTTACTTAATACAATGGATCCACATTCTAAAAGTGCTTCCAAAAGACTCAAAAAATGTAAGTTTACCATTTCTGCAAGCTAAACATTCACATTGATAAATATATTATATATATATTTAACAAATGATGCCTCAACCCAATACTTACTATCTTTGAACAAGAAACCAATTGAAGAATACATGGTGTGATTTTAGCCCAAAATTCTAGCAGGGTATTCATGGTAATATTCTGATTCTCGCTATTTGATGAATTATTTTTCGATAGCTCTTCCAGGTACATGGTCCATAACTATAATTTATTTATTAACGTTAAATTAAGAATGATTTTAAAATTATGTATCATAATTTGGCATAAATACCTGACAAAGAATAAATGCATGAAACAAAGATGACATATGAAGTACAGAAGCTTTTGATTGTTCAGGAAATGCTGAAAAAATGACTTGTATATGATTTGCTACATGACAAGACATTTCCTGAGGTATTGGTTGTACAGATGAGAATTGAGATCCATGACTGTGAGGATTACTATTACCAGCAAACATTGCTGTATGTGTAAGAGAACCAAGTAATAACCATGATAATAATCTGATATGACCAATACAATCCACATACTCGCGAGCCCTAAATAATTTTTATTATGAAATAATTACTATTAAAGTTTTTTAATTATATCAATTAATCAATTCAAATCACCCTTGTTGTATGATGGATGGTGTGTTGCAAAGCCATGGTAGATATCGTCCAACAGCTCTGTTTTCTCTATTATTACCTTTGGTGATTTCTATTGCAACATATTGTGCCAAACCACATTTCAACATTCCACCCAAGGTATCTTCGTTCAAACCAGCTTGTAATCCTTTATTGTAACTCTAGAATAGACAATAGATTTGTTAGAACGATCGTAAAAGAATTCTTTTCTTTTTGGGGTTCTATAAAATAAAATAAAAACCATACCTTGATCTTACTGAGGGTATGAAAATCTGCTAAAAATTCAAGGACCTCTAATAATTGACTTTTTAATGAATCCGACGCATTAGTGTTATAAATCGAAGAAACATCGTTTTGAATTTGTTCCAT